CGCGACACCATGTCGGCCAAGGTGCGACTCAAGAAGCTGGAACAGCTGCTCCTGGACGGGCCGTGGCGCAACGAGAGCGCGCTGAGCGTGGAGACGCTGCTCGACGTGCTCGTGTGTCTCTACACCGAGTGCAGCCACTCGGCCCTGCGCCGCGACAAGTATGTGGCCGAGTTCCTCGAGTGGGGTGAGTGCATGTCCCCATCCACGGCTTCCACCCCTGCGCCCGGGGCGCCCACCCCAGGCCCCACTCCCCGTGCGCCCTGGACCCTCGGACATCATCCCTGTCCACTCCTCCGCCTCCCCATCCTGCCCCTTGAGCCACATCCTCCGTTCCCATCCCCACCCCTCCCCCCTGCCGGGCCATCGCCCCAGCCGCTTCCTAGATCCACCCTCCGAGTCTGGATATCATTTCCTGCAGCACTCCCTGGGATATCCGCCCCCCCCTCCCCGCACCTCGCCTTTGGGGTCCAGAGGCAAGTTGACTTCCAACTGGGGCAGCTCCTGTGCTTTTTTTCTGCATCTGCTGGGCCGTGGGCCCCCCCTACCCCTGGGTGCATCTCCTGGGAATCCGGCTTCTGCAACCTGGCTCCCTCCCCTGGGTGCCTTGAACACCCCTTACCTTCAGTGGAGTCTTTAAGGATACTTTAAAAAAAAAAAATCATAAATTGTCTGGGTCCTACAAGAGCACATAAGTCTGCATTGTAATTGTGACAGCGCCTTGTCCTATTTTGGGATAAGTGGAACTGTCAATACAAAGGCACTTTAAAAACTTTGTTCCAGTGGTGTTCTGGGCCCATTTCCTCTGGTTCTAAATTCATTCAGGAATGTGGTCTTTAAAGATCTGTAATGCTGTACACACAGAAATTTGATCCACCTGTGTGCTTTACTAGGGAAAAATTCGATGAAGCCACTCGATATTGCTCTGGTTGTCTAGGGATCTGTCATGCTCCATGTGTAAGGACCACTGACAGCACATTCGTTTGGCCGCTAACAGAAATTTGGTGATTCCCACCCACCAGCCAGCGGCTCTTCTGTAGCAAGATCTGGCGGTCTGCTTCCTTGAAGATTCCAGTGTTGGGACCCTCTGAGGCGGCCCTCCTCTGTCCTATGAGTTGAACTTGATTTATGGCCAACCAGTTTGATGCTGAATAGAGAGTAACTTGAAAGACTTACCTGCTTTACTAGGAAAATATTTTTATTAAGTCACTTAACAGTAATTCGAACCCTGTAGATGGTCAGAAGTGTAAAGTGAAACCCTTTGCGCCTCTCCTTGATGTGGGCCTGCCATCCACAACCCCTGACTCTTGAGTTCTTACACACAGAAAAACTGAGAAGGAGGCAGCGCCAGACCCGTGAAAATCTTATCATAGGGTCATTTGCGTCATTGGGCTTGGATGGTGCTGTTTGAACCGGTGGTTTGAAATTTTTGCCTCTGATCAAAGGGGGCATTTAAAACGTTAGCCGGAATTTGACGTTTTGTTTACAAATCATTAACTCAACGTGCAGTGTTTTATAGGGCACTTCTTGCTCTTTGATGAAGAGTTGATACGACACGTTTGCTGTCTTGTGAAAGCAGCGGAGGAAGAAGGCTGCTTGGGCCCCAGGACAGTTTCTGTGGGGACTGCCATTCCTGATTACCTAGAATGAATTCGCTTTCTGGGGTCCTTTGCCAGTGTCAGTGACATGCTTTCCAATTAAATAATTAACTGACTTCCCCTTGAGGTTTTCAAATGTATCATAAGTCCTCCAAGCACTGCAGATGCCGTTCCTTCATGAGCACGGAGTGTTGATGTCAAGGCCAGCCTGCAGTCAGGCACAGCTCCACGCAGGGCTCAAGTGGAGCGTGACTGCGGGGCGGAAGCCCAAGGCAGGCTGGCATGGCTGGTCTGGTGTGGTTTAGGCTGGCTTCTGGCCTGGGAGCTAGTCAGTGACTGCGTGGGAACAGTCGACGGCTGGATGTCCTCTGTCCACACTGTGTGACCTGAGTTAGAAGTCACTGGTCAGGGATCTTCTTGACATGTTGTAAGGGCAGTCACAGTTTAAGAATGACCTTTCCATGTTTAAACAGACGCTGTATTTGCTTCTGTGTTCTGATTTACAGTTGTTTCCTGGCTCTCTGGCAATTGTGTTTACAAATAAATGTCATTATTTTCTTCCTAAGAACTCAGTTTACTCAGAAGTGTAAACTGAGTTATTTCTCATGATCCTTGTGCATTGCGTTTGAATGGGAACCAACTCCTAGCTGACCTTCTACCTGTAAATGCCAAGGATTTCGACTTGTCTTTTCTCTCCCAGAGCAAGTGATGGATTCAGACCTTGCAGCTCCCTAGCTACATTATACAGGAGAGAGACTTATATTTAAGGTGATGTTTTTATGAAATACTTGTCTGTTTTGGAAGTTGTATGTAATTGTGTGTGTGTAAACATGTTCTGTAGTTTGTTACTAATTACGGTATATGTCTCTTGCTTGTGGTAGTTGGAACACGAGGAAGGGCTTTCAGATAAGAATTATTTGTGCAGCATTATTAGACCCCTTGACTTCCGCACTCCCAGGGAAGCAGAGCCTGGTATGCTGCTCCTGGCAGTAGTTTTGAGTCCAACTATGCTGGTAGCATCTGGAGCACTCCCTAGAAGCAAGGATGGAGAAACTTCACCTCATACTTTGGGTATGTTGTCAGGAGACACCAGTGCACGGAAAGGACATCGTACTGGAAAAGTCGAAAGGAATGCCCTCAACAAGATGACTAGACATGGTGACCCCGACACTGGGTGTAAGCACGATGCAGATTGTGAACACAGAGCAGGATCAGGCAGGGTTTTGATCTGTTGTGCATAGGGTGACAACACCTAACAGTACAGGCACCACACTTAACGGGTATCGCTTTAGGAGGAAAATGTGGCGTCAGGATTAGAGGAAGATTCATCAACAACCTGCGTTATGCAGATGACACAAACTTACTTGCTGAAACTGAAGAGGACATGAGACATTTGCTGCAGCAGAAGTTCAAGAACTGCAGCCTTCAATATGGATTGAAGCTCAACATCAAGAAAACAAAGATTCTCACCCCTGGGCCTCTTGGCAGCTTCATGACAGACAGAGATGGAGACTGTTAACAGCTTCAGCTTGCTTGTTTTCGCAGTCAACACTTGTCACCAGCAGTCAGGAAATCAAAAGACAAATTGGCATTGGGAAAGTCAGCTCTCTGAGACCTCTCTAGAGTACTGAAGATTTACGAAGTGACTCTGGAGACTAAGGTGCGCCTGATCCACACCATGGTCTTTGCAGTTGCTTGTTATGCGTGAGAGAGCTGGACGGTAACTAAGGATGATGGAAGAAGGATCGATGGCTTTGGGTTGTGGTGCTGGAGAAGATTGTTGAATATAACATGGACTGCCAGGAGAACAAGCATGTGTATCCTGGAGGGACAGACAAACAGGCTGCTACCTGGAGGCAAGGATTCAGAGGCTCTGTCTCACATGCTTTAGGCACATGGCCGGGGGGGGACCAGTCCTTGGAGAAGACATTATGCTTGTAAGGGTGTAGGACAGCACAGGTGAGGAAGACCCCGGATGAGATGGATTGATTTAGTGACTGGAGCAGTGGCATTAAGTCAGTTGGAGATGGTGTGATTGGCTCAGGATCAAGCAGGGTTCAGAGCTAATGTATATAGGGTTGCAGGGAGCTGCAGGCAGCTCAGTGGCACACAACAACAACATGAAAACACGGTTAAGGACTAACAAGAAGTTTGGATGGTTAGAACCTATTCAGAGGTATTTCACAGGCTGGCAATCTACTTCAAAAGGGTTACATCCTTGAGAACCTCATAGAATAGGGCTAGTCTGCACACGAGGTCACCATACGTCACAATTGACCAGACAGTAACTAACAGGTAAAACAATCGAAATACCTTAACCACTGTCCACTATGTATATGTGACGAACATTGTATGTATGTGTGCGCAGGTACTGAATATAATGTATAGAGTATGTAATATACTAATGTAATAGGTGGACACGTAGATAAATACCTGGGAGAAGGACGGGCCGTCTCCTCCCGTGCAGTTAACTGCCTCTGACTGGAGGGTCAGCTGTGGGTCAGTCTAGATGGTACTTAACAATATATAGAGAGAGACATAATATATATGTAATATATAGAGCTATGTAACTCCAAATTCATTGTCTTAGGGTCAGATCCTGCAGAGGCACCAGCACGTTTTCAGAGCCTGTTAATCACACAGCAGGCTATTGCCCATCTTTCTCCCATGGAGCAGCCGGTTGGTTCCAACCACCCGCCTTTGGGCTGGCAGTGCAACTCCTTATCCACAAAGCCACATGACCTCCTGGTGTGTGTATGCATGCGCACATGCGTGTCTGTGTGTTTACAGATACATATATACTCTTATCAGTCTGGATTGTGGAGTTTGGATTCACACACCGGTGTTGCTTTCCTGACACGTCAGTAAACAACAGCCTCCCACCTCCCAAATCTTCGCATGTGTCTGATGACAGCTATGTAGAATTCTTGACGTTTAAAAAGCCGCTGATTCGATCCAGAGTTTGAGACCTGCTGTGAAACCCTTAAGGAGATTCCAGAAATCTAGGGAATCCGGTTGAAGACGACTTTCTGAACCTTCTTTTCTTATCGCCACAGAGCCAGTGCAGGGGCCAAGACTGGTTTTTTTGCTTTTGGTTCATGTTTTTTCTCTTTAATTTTCCCTTAGAGTCCCTCTTTGAAATTCCAGACCTTAATTAAAAATGGGAAATACTTTGTTTGCTTATATATTTCTTTAAACTATTTTTCAATTAAATGTAAGTTTGTACCTTTTAAAGCAGAGCATATTAAAAACTGTTCATGTCTGGGTGGCCCTCTAGAATGTGTTGTCTTTCACCTTGGTATGTGAAAAGCTTGTAGATTATATGTGGGGCTTTTTTTTTTGTAGCTTATATGTGGGCTCATGAATTCCATGTAACGGCTTGAGTCACATTAGAACAGAGCTGATGTGTTCAGTGTCACCCTGCTAGCTTGGGACAGGATTGCGGTGGTCACCTGTTCTGACCCTCATGAGTGGCCTGCGTACCTGGCTGGAGGTCTAGAGCAATATGCTGTAGGCGTGGACACACTCACAGAGGCTCTCCGTTCTCTGTCCTGGGCGTCTTCTCTAACTCGGTGCTTCCTCTGTATCG